CAGCTGCAACCTCTGGAGGGCCAGAGGTCCCCAGCCCAGCATTTATGGATATACCTGTAGTTTGTCCAGGCAGTTCAAGGTAGAGAGGCCCCCATTCCAGCAACATAGCAGGGCAGGCAGGCGGAAGAAAACAAATGGCATCTCCCGACTTCCCCAGGTATTCTATAGGCATTACTTCCAGAGGTACTATTATTGTATACACTATCAGCATTCCCCAACTGGATGCTCTCAGGAGGTTTTGTATTACAGTTCCCATAAATCCCAGGCAGCACAGCACACTAGTGGCATTCTTTCCTTCCTCAGACCAATTTTTTATTACCATTTGGGAGTTGTAGGGGTTTTTGTTTGTTTGTTTCTTGTTTAAAGTTTGCCTATATTCACACACATTCATATTCACTGCTATAATCTCTCTCTCACACACACATACATAGAACATTCAACACATTAAAAATCAATTTCCGTATTTTCCCGTCTATAAGATGGCCCCATGTATAAGACACCCCCTATTTCAGGGGACCCCGATTTAAGAAAATGGGAGGAGATGGGCCCTGTGTATAAGACGCCCCCAAATTTTGGACATTATTTTTTAGGGGGAAAGCCCAGTCTTATAAACGGAAAAATACAGTACAGTGGTACCTCGGGTTACATACGCTTCAGGTTACATACGCTTCAGGTTACAGACTCTGCTAACCCAGAAATAGTACCTTGGGTTAAGAACTTTGCTTCAGGATGCACGGCGGTGGCACGGCAGAAGCAGGAGGCCCCATTAGCTAAAGTGGTGCTTCAGGTTAAGAACAGTTTCAGGTTAAGAACGGACCTCCAGAACGAATTAAGTATGTAACCAGAGGTACCAATGTACTTCCTGTAATTTGGATCTCTCTCATTCTCTCTCTCTGGAGGTCAGATGTAAGGAACTGGACCTGCTGCTTGCCATTTGCCTCCACTTCTGTTCCATCAATATATTGTTAAACCAAGAACTTAACCTAAGCAGCTTTACCCATGGAACATCTGAGCGCTCAGGGAAGAGGGGGGGAGAGAGAAAGAGAGAGAATGAACGAAAAGTAGAAAATAAAAAAGCCAAAGGAGGGGTCATCCCTAGATCTCCTGTGTCCTTGGTCTAGATGCTATGATGCTGAGACTGGCAATTTCCCATCATCACACACCCCAAAGGGGAGAAGACATGACTGCAGAAATTTCTGCTGGAAGTGTGGACAAGGGTTAGACTGGAGGCTAGACCCTCTGCAGATTTAGTAGTGGCTGGGAAATGGACATTCTCCACTTCCTGCAAGAGGTGTAAGAGGCTGGGATGGAGGCCTGGTCCTCCTAATCTCTCTCTCTCTTTCCCTCCCTCCCCCTCCTGCCCGCCGCTCCCATTTCCATTTGGTGTCCTGCCGTTCCTGCTTGCCCAAACTAGTTTGCAAAACCCACTTAATATCAGAAAAGGGCTGCTGGCTGTGGAGAGTGGGGAGGAATCAAGCACCAGCAGCCTCTTCGATCTGCCGAGTGCATTTTCACAGCTCAAATTATAGGAGCCGCTTCCTCAACAAGGAAGCAAAGACAGCAACACGGAAGAATCGATGCGGAACGTGTGAGACCTCCAGGGGAGGGTGTGGAGCTGACTGGCTTGGGCAGGGATGGGGCCTGTTCTCTCCCCCCCCCCCCCCCCGCCATAATACAGCTTTGTACTCACTTCCAAGACAGCCTTGCCTGCAGACACAAGGAGGGAGAAGAAGGAACGCTGCGCATCAAAACAGCCGCTTCTCCTATAGGAAGCAGGCTTGTGATATATACCCAAGTTCTGATCCAAGGAAACCTGGGTGGAGAACCTTTCTTTCAGCCCAAGGTCCATATTGCCTGAAGGACACTGGTTCAGGGGTTGCATATCAGCGGTAGGTGGGGTCAGAAGGAGAAATGGGTGGGGCAATGGATGTGGCTCCTAATGTGTCAGTCTTCAGGGAATCAGCTTCCTTCCTCCCTCCCCCTGGCAGTAGATAAGCAGAACAAAGGAAAGGGAGTCTTCTTACCAGTTAGAAACTTTAATAATCACAGTGAGAGAACAAAGAACCCATCTCCTAGAAATGGTGGTGCTCCCAATTAAGTTCACCCCCCCTCCGTCCCTATTAATCTACATCACTCCTACATTTTTGTAATCTGAGTTTGGAGCCTTTGTGTTTTCTTTTTTTTAATATATAAATTTTATTAGTATTTTCCACACAACAACAACCCGAAAGATATCGAAAAACAACAATACACAAAAACCAACATTCAAAAAAAATATATCCATATCTTACAAGTTAATAATATGAACACTAAAAAGAAAAACAAACATTGACTTCCACCAATCCCACAGCACCTCCTTTATCTCTCATTGTGTCTTCCTGTTTTCCTGTTTTCCTTATCATCTCTATCCTAACATCTAAATATAAATCCCTCTTTCTTATCCTTTCACTTCACAAGGTTATTCCAGACTCAGCCAGATTTCTGTCCTTGAACCTTGACTTTGTAATCTGATTTTGGAGCCGCTGTGTTTTCTGTTCTGCCACTTTCTGAGCTCTGCGGGATTTTGGGGGAAGTGGGTGAATGCTTTCCAGAGACTGTGAATCTGTTAACTCTTTCTCTTCTAGTGTTTCTTCTGCTAGCTGTTCCCCATCCAGTATTTCCCAGCTTCTGCCTTCTGAACTATGTCCCTCTGCAAACCACTGTTCCAAATCTATACTGTTCCAAATCTCCTGCTCCTGAAAAGATTCAGGATCAGGAGGAGGGGGTGACTCCCACCATTCCTCATCAGTGCAGCCAGGGTGGCGTAGTGGTTAGAGTGTAGGACTAGGACCTGGGAGACTCAGGGTTCAAATCCCCACTCAGCCATGAAGTTCTCTGGGTGACCTTGGGCCTGTTACTGCCTCTCAGCCCAACCTGCTTCATGAGGGTGTTGTGAGGATAACATGGGGAGCAGAACTACGTAAGATGCATTTGTGGGCAGCGGCATAGGCACAGGTCAGCCCAGCCACTGTGAGATGACGGGAAGAACAGGGCTGGCTGGCTCCTTGGGTGGTGGACATTGGGGGGGGTGTCCTGCAATGCGCCCTCTGTGAAAAGGGTAGCAGTGGCAGAAGGTGAATCGCCATGAACCTGGTGAGTACTGGTACCTTTTGTTTTTCTTTTAAAAAGGCTCTGCCTAAATCCCTTTAAAAACAGTCTTAAGCATCAATGTGAACCACCCAGAAGATGTGAAACACCATCGCTCTGGCCAGACAAACCATCTACCAACAGAGCCTCCATCCTGTTGGAATCAAGCCTCAGTCAGGCTTTCTTCTTCTTCTTATAAAGCACTCATATCCATAAAAGCAAAATCTATTTGAGCTGTTTTCAAATATCTCTCCTCTTGCCTTAATGGATTCTAATTTCTCCCCCCCCCACCCACCCATCCACCAAATAATTTGCCTAAATCTGTGTCTTACTATCCAACAAAGTAACACAAAAGATAGAGGTCCTGGGTTATTTTAGATACTTTTAAAAAGAACATACACTTACATTTAATTAAAAGTATCTGCATCGGAGTGAGATTAATTAATTCTCCATCCACCCTAGAGTCCTCTCTTTGTGTTAGCTTAAATGAGGTTTTAAATGTTGTCTCCACGTCGTATCTCCAGACAACACTCTAGCAGGTACTGTACGAGCGAGATTCATTTAGTCAGAAAATGAAACACACTCTGCTAGCCTCAGCCTTGGCTCCCAGTAAGCAGGGAAGGAGGAGGAATCTGGAGGCTGAATGAATCCTTTGCATAGGCCTTCACTGCAGAAGATTTTAGAGAAATACCCACATATGAACCATTGTTTCTGAGAAGATATGTCAAACAACAGGCCACAAAAGATGATGCTTTTAGAGCTAATTGACAAATTACAAATGGGGCCCAAATGCCACACATCCAGGACTTCTTAAATAACTCAAATATGAAACTACTTGATTTTCAAATTCTGTGTGTACACAGTTTGCCAACAATATCAACCTCTTTACTAGAGAACAACTAAAAAGTATCCAATGGAACAAGTTTATTTTCCTTTCCTTTCAAAGGGATTCATGAGGGAACCTATTTTTATAAGCCCATTAGCCTAATATATGTCCTAGAAACAGAACGTATTGTTATTTTTTAAAAAACCAAATTCCTAAGCAAATAGAGGGACAAGCCATGCTTAAGAAGAATCAGCATGGCTTCTACAAAGGTAAGTTCTGCCTCACCAGCCATTTAAAATGATTTGAGAATATTCAATAATGGAGAAGAGGTGAACTGGTATGTTCACTGATTCCTGAGACTTTCAAAGGCCTCTTGAGAAAGTCATTCAAGGGGCCTAAGTAAAAAACAGTCATGGGCCTCTTATTTATCTGAAAGCAGGGGATAGAAACAAATAGAAAGAAAACACTATGATTTCCAAAAGACCTGTATTGGAACTAGTGCTATTTAGCACTCTTAAAATGCTGTAGAATCAAGGATGAGTAGTGAGGTGCCTACCAAAATATTCCAGATGGAGAAATTCAAAGTAGGGTGTGAGGAACTCCAGAAAGATCTCTCAAAACAGGGTACTTCAAAGGCAAGAAAAAGTGGATGTACATACACATACTTTCTCATTTTTTGCACATTGGGACAACCCTACCACCACCACCACCACAAAAAACCCTTCATTTCACTTATGCACTAATGGGGTCTGAACTGGCTGTGGTCGTGGGACAAAGGAAATGTCATACCAGGAAATCCTACAGTTTTCTTTTCCAAAGTTAAAGTTTCTAAAGGTTGGATTGATTTTCAGATGCACTCTGTCTGAACTGCTTCTGACTCCATGATGTTGCTACCTGGGCGGAATACAAGTGACAAGTCACAGGGCGCCCAGATGAGCATAGGAAGCTATCTTATATTGAGCCAGACCATTGGGTCCATCTACACTGTGTTTTCAACACTGGCAGTGGCTTTACCAGGTTTCAGACAGGGGACTTTCCCAGCCTTATCTGGAGATGCTGGGGATTAAACCAGGGACCTTCTGCATGCAAGGCAGACACTAGAGCACTGAGCTATGGCCCTTCTCCTCCCAGGACCATGCCTGATCTGGTGCCCAACCCAGAGGAAGACCTTCAAGATGTGCTTTAAATAAAACAATGGCCAAGGGCTGAGTAGTTAGTACTTGTTCCTTTTCAATATATATTCAGATAGCTCAGTTGGCTAGAGCATGGTGCTGATAATGCCAAGGTTGCAGGTTTGATCCCTGTATGGGACAGCTGCATATTCCTGCATTTCAAGGCATTGGACAATATGGTCCTCAGGGTCCCTTCCAACTCTATAATCTATGATTCTATGAGTATTTTTATTTTTAATCTGATTTTCATGTCTTTGCTATTTTATTTTTTGTGGTCATTTGGAGGCACTTGAGTGCAAAAATGTGATGATGATATTATTATTATTATTATTATTATTATTATTATTATTATTAAATGCAGGATAAAGTAGGGGGAGGTATATGCAACCCATAAGCATGTAGCATATTCTTGCCTATAAGGACATGTTTGCAATAACAAAAATTGTGTCATAACCCCCATGATAGAGGAAAGGGTTGCGGGGAGGTGTTGTGATACAGGACGACCACAGAATACCACCAGATTCCTCCGAGCTAATCAGATGGAGCTTCCACCAAGCCACCAGCTTCATTCTTTCATGCCTCTTGCATTGCACTCTCTGATCTACCAATCGCCCCACCGCTATGCTTGCACACGTCAGACTCCTGTAGCATAAGATTAATTGATAGGGGATCAGGAGATTTCTCCTCCAGAACAATGGGCCTTTTAGCAAGTACTAATAGGATGCCAATTAGGCTATTTACATTTTGAGTTAGAATATGAAGCCTGAAGGAGATTCCCCCAAGGTGTATGATTGAGGGTAATCTTGCTTGCAAGGAAAGGGCAAGGCAGAATTCCTAGGACACTGGATGCAAAGCTCCCATTATTACCTGGGGGTAATAATGCCTACAATGGGGAAGCTAAGTGAAGGAGGTGGCAGACACACAAAATAACCCCAGGTCTATCTTCTCAATTCTAGATGGAGGCCGGCTTGCCAATGACCCTTGACCTTTTATAATGGGAGCTTGCCAGAGCTGGAATCCAACAACATCTAGACAGCACCACAGTGACTACCCCTGCAATAAGGTGGAGCAGCTTCAAGCTTCACCTGAATATTGAGGTACCCCCTAAGAGGGCAGGGTTATTAGAGCTGGGTGGGGTCGCCTCCCCTGTGTCAGGGTTCCTGACAGGGACTCAGATTCAGATAATGCACCAGCCACCCCACTTGAGGGGCAGCCCACAGCACCCCCTTCTAACCTGCCTGAGGACATGACTCTCCCATCAGCATCTGAAGAGGACTCCCCTGCAGCCTTTCCTGCTCCACAAATATGCACTAGCCAATGACTGAATCATAGACAATGTGGGCCCTTTAAAGATGGCCACCTGCTCTATCAAAGAGGTGGAGCCACTGGAAGTTCAAGCCTTGCCAGCCTTCTTAAACTTCCCAATGATTCTGGTCCCTGGTTGATGGAACTTCCTTCCCAACTCAGCCACAGGGAGCTGTCCAGATCTCCCTTCCTGTACACTGAATGTGGCCCTGATAACGATTAGTGCTTCCTCTGCTGGCTGCAATCCCCAGCAGAACGTGGGTGGCTTTAGATGAATTCATGGAGAAGAAGGCTATCAATGGCTATTAGCTAAGGTGTCTGTGCGCTCCCTTCCATGGTCAGAGGCAATAACACTTGTTGGAAACTTCAGGAGAGGAGAGTGCTCTCATGCCTGTGTCCTGCTTGTGGGTTTCCCCACAGGCATTTGGTTGGATGGATGCTGGACTAGGTGGGCTATTAGCCTGATGCAGCAGACTCTTCTCATGTTCTTATGCAAAACAAGGCAAGTGGTAGCCTGCAAGGTTGAACTGCAGAAGGTCACAAGCTCTGCTTAGACAAGGATGACAGCCTGGCTCAGAAAGACCTTGAAGAAGAGACACTGGCCACAGCTGATGCCACCAGACTAGATGAAGCAATGGTTTGACTCAGCCAGAGGCAGCAGAAAAGACTCTGCTGCCTTTAGCAATGCTGCCACCATTGAGCTGGAAGGAGATTCATGGCCCACCAGCTCTGACCCAGCTGCATCTCCAGCTTCCCTTCTACTCTGCTTACCTAACCTTGGTAAGTAGGGAATTGGATGCGAGGCATTTCCAGGAGAGGGATGGAAATGTGGCTGCATTTAAGAGACACCATAAAAAATACATTAGGCTTACAATAAACCTCGCCATAAAGGCACAGGCTAGGGAGCTTATGTTTCATTTACTGTGAAGCCAGAATAACTACCAAGAACAACGACCTATCCCTGCCTCGCTCCACACCACTCAGTCCAGTTTCTGCCTCTGCGGCATGGTGTAAAGGCAAAATTGTCGGAACTGCTCAAGGGCCAAGGTACCTAGGCTTCATTCAGCCTGGGGCTGAGTGTCTGTCAGCTGGCTTCGGAGCTATGGTGGGTGTCAGGAGGACTAGCCTCAGATTCACGGCCTTCTTCACAGGAGGCAGCCACAGTTCCAGACTTCCGTAGAATCTCATGCACCCCGAGAAGCCACTTGCCCTCAGCCTTGATGTAAAATCACAAGCAATAAAACTCAGATATAATGAAATTTAAAAATGCACTGATTAGCCAAACTCTTTGCTAAGTAAGGAACGCCACATGAATCATCCCTGCACTGCAGAGGGTTGGACTAGATGATCTAGAGCAGCGGTTCTCAACCTGTGGGTCCCCAGATGTTGTTGGACTACAAGTCCCATCATCCCTGAGCTCTGGCCTTGCTAGCTATGGGTGATGGGAGTTGTAGTCCAACAACATCTGGGGACCCACGGGTTGAGAAAGGCTGATCTAGAGGGTCCCTTTCCCCTCTTCCATTCTATGATTTCTAACAGAATGTCCAAGGCTTGTTCAATCTGTCAGACCACTGACTCCCATCAACCCCAGTCAGCACAGCCAGTGTGTGTCAGAGTCCAAGGTTGTATCCAATACTAGCCCTGCTCAGAGTAGACGCAGTGGTCCATCTTGTTCAATCCCCTCAGACTGGCAGTGGACTTCCAAGGGCTCAGGCAGACCAAGATTTCTCTCAGCCCTTCTACATGACGTGACATGAATCAATCCTGGGACTTTCAGCATGCCAAGTAGGTGCTCTGCCTCCCAGTCATGGACTTTGGTGCCTAGCAATACCTTCACAATCGCTTGCCTCTGATTCTTTTCCTCCTTGTTGTTCTGCATCTTTTTCGCCACACTTCTCCTCTCCTTCAATGCATATACACTCCAAGTGGGGTGGTGGCAGCTGGAGCAGCGCTGCTGCTGCTCAGGCATGACCCAGAAGCTGACCTTTCCTCATGGCCTCACCTGAACACACAGCCAGGGGTTGGGTCTCCTTGCTCTGGCTATTCAGCCCTTCAGCAGCAGGTCTCCTCAAGGTCCGAGGGTGTTTAAACCAACACATTTGCATCCAGCTTCTCGCAGGCGGCTCAGATCTCACCTGCAATTCCTATGACAAATCCTTATCAAAACCGCCGATGGCAAGTCCACGGTGACTTTGTTCAGTCTTATTAGCTCTGCACAGATTAGCTCTCAGCAGCGCTTAGCCCATTTATACAGATTTCTGATAAATGTTTTGACTGATTTTCCCGACTCTGGAAAGACACACAGAGAAACTCCCTAGCTCTTCCAAGGATGCGATTACATTGAAAGGTATGAAATATTCATTACATTCTCTCTCTTTCAGCAGTGCAGCCTCCTAGAAATCCACCTTAGCCACATTCCCAGAGGGGCAAAGCTTAGGAAAAGGGGGGTTTTTTGGAGGGGGAGGGAAGGTTACTTTAAAAAGCACACAGATTTACAAATGTGTCTTTGCAAATAGCATGAGCTATTGCATATTGTTGACATCACATTTTCTCTCTTTTATATTATTGTGAAATGAAGCTGATGGTGCACAAATGCACAGGGCAATGCAGCAAGATCACAAACCTTAGAAGAAAGAGGGGATTGTGGTCTTTGGGGCTTTCTGGGGCAGCACACATTAAACTATGGAACTCACTACAGCAGGAGGCAATGATGGAGACCAACTTGGGTGGCTTTAAAAGAGGACTGGGCAAATTCACAGAGGAGAAAACTATCGGGGCTGCTAGCCATGATGGCTATGTTCTGCCTACTGTCGGAGGCAGTAATGCTTATGAATAACAGTTTCTGGAAACCATTAGAGGAAAGAGTGCTCTTGTGCTCAGATCCTGCTTGCATGTTTCCTACAGGCAATCTGGTTGGCCACTGTGAGAGCATGATGCTCAACTAGATGTGCCATGGCCTGATCCAGCAAGGCTCTACTTGAGTTCTTATGGGGTTGACTTGCGGGACAGTAAGATTAAAGCAGCCTGAAAGGAGGTCGCTATTGGGAGACTTTGGATTGGATGTGTCAACTATATAGGCAGATCAGTGTGTGTATGTCTCTCTCATTCATTCACTCACTCACTCACTCACTCACACACACACACACATATACATAATTGATTGGGGTATGGTCAGAAGCTTTGCTGTAACTCACCCTGGGGACCTTAGAGTAAGGGGCGGGTAATAAATTAAAACAACAAACAAGAACACTGCCACAAATCTGGGTCTGCCTTGGCCAGCAACTTGAGAGTCAGCTACTGAAGCCAGAGCAATAATACTTTGAGACTGTTGTGAGCCCTTTCAGATCACAGCTGGTGAGCAAGGCTTAGAAAGAGACTTCATCTACTCCATACCTAAGAAACTCGGTTGTGTTCTGCCAACTGTTTAACAGAGTAATGTCTGTGTTCTTCAGGAGCTGTCCTAGGCCCTGCAGGGCCTGATTCTCTCAGGTGGCTGCTTGATGCCTGCATCCTGCCATTTCTTACACATTGCCCCAAAGCTATGCTCAACACCTTCCATGGACTGGTGTGAGCAAAGAGCTCTGGATAACCCCCCTCCTGCTTTGCCTTTCCTTGCCTCTCCTTGGCTTAAGGATTCAAGCCTTCCACTCTCAGAAACTTCCTCTCGTTTCTTGGTGACAGGCAAAATTATGTAAATGGAGAAGCACTCTACCCTGACCCCACAACAATGGATTGCAATCTTCTTGTCCTCCTTGGATACAGGATGAAAATTTGCTGATGTCCCTTTCATGCAACCATTTAGTCCCTGCCAGATTTATCTTCCTGCTATTAGCCTTCAGAGTGCTGATTTGTTTGGCTGTCATTTGGACAAATGTTGATGGGCAGAAGCAAGAAGATTCCCTCCTCCCCTCCCATTTTGCCAACCCGAGCTAAATGCATCAAGAGGAAAGGGGAGGAAGGACAAATGACTGACCCATAAAATAAATACCAGTCTTACAAGTTGCCGATACGGGTTAAGTATTGCAGGAATCATTTCAATGAATAAAGATTTAGCAGAGGGAACGAGCCTCAGACTTCCAGACTAGAAGGGAACAGAAGCACAAGTTAATGAAACAGATGGATGAGAAATTGGGGAGTTGGCCTTTGATGTTAGGAAATATGGTTGGCTCAGGAGCTAACTAGCCTCAGCTGCTCAACACAAGACAAAGCAGAAGAAATCTAGGTAAGCAGAAGATTCATTAGCTAGAGAGAGGCATTAATGCCCAGGGTTCCATTGAGAGAAAGGGTGGGATATACATTTAATAAAATAAACTTGATGAGGTGGCAAGTGCAGCTTTTCTACAAAAAAACAGCGTTCTGAATCCAGTTCTTGTATACACTCTTGGCACTGTGATACATTGTGTGCATTGTGATGCTCTGGGTTGCCCTGCCTTGCAGCAGCCCATAATATAGGACAGAGGTAAAGGAATAGGAAGCTGCCTTAGACCAAGTCAGCCCAACTGGTCCAGACAGCTTAGCACTGTCTACACTGACTGGCAGTGGCTCTCCAGGAATTCTGTCCCAGCCCTACCTGGAGACACCGGGGATTGAACCTGGGACCTTCTGCCTGCTAAGCAGATGTTTCACCACTCATCTACAGTCCTTCCTTCATAGGACAACCTTATGAAATTCAAGAACTCCTCCTGTTGGGAAGAAGAGGGAGAATTGTGTTGCCAGTGGCATGTTATGCCATGCCCAGTCCCCACCACCAATATAATCCATGGTTTTTGATAGTAGTCTTCTTTCCAGGTTACACACCGTCTCCACACTTACTTAGCTTCACAACATGCTGGGGCTCCCAGTTCATGAAGCGAGCCACACGAGGTCCGTATTTAGTTCTGATCTTTGCAATATGGTGTGTTCCATTCAGTCCACCCACCACTGATGATGCCATTGCTCTTCACAGACCTCCTTTCAGTTAGACCAGCAAATTCACCCAAATAGCTATTGATCTGTGGTATTCCATTTCACTTCTGTTTCCACGTGGGTTGCTGCCGTCCTCAACCAATCTATATTCATGTGTAAACTAGTCCAAGCTTCCCAAGCCCAAAGGAAACTTCAGACAGATCTTATTGCAGAAGGTTAAGAAGAGACATTAGAAGAGTTCCAGAGGTAGATCAGGCCAAAGGGGGACCCATCTAGTACGATATTCTGTTTTCACAGTGACCAACCAGATGCCCCAATGGGTAGTCCACAACTCTGATGGTGGAGGGAGAACATAGCCGTCATGATCAGTAGTCATTCGATAGCATCATCCTCCATGAATTGGCTAAACCTCTTCTAAAGCTACCCAAGCTGGTGGTCATCATTTGACGATGTGGGAGCAAATTTTGCTTTGGGACTTCTCATCCCTAGGAGCTATTTCAGTTCAGAGCTGTCAGATGCAACTAAGGGCTTGTGGTGTCCATGACTGGTTGCCAGACCGCCCCTTTTCCCAAGAGGTGCCCACTGGCTCGTGGGAATGTCCAAGTAGCAGACAAGAGCCAATTGCGCCTCTAAGGTGACCAAAATCAGGAGCCATTTCAACTGTTGATGTAGCCTGGAAAACAAAGGAAGCCTGCATAGCCTCAGTGACAATCCTAATCCTGAAGCCCAGTGAAATGACCAGAATAGACTGGAATGAGATGTATTTACTTCTGCACTGCAAGCTAACAACAAGCCCTTCAAACCTCATGGACTGCTGATTGACACAGTTTGAGCAAGTAACTTTCCAAGCCAAGGCAGCCCCGGGAGGGAGACCAGCCAACCTTGGTAATGAAAACGTAAAACAGGTCCGTTGAATAAGCAAAGAATTGAGTGTCCGTAGTGATTCTCCCGACCAGCTCTTCATTTCACTCCCTATTATTGTGTAACTGTTTGCTAAGGCACCCCAGAGGCTGGAATCTGTACTTGTCAGACGAGTGCTAGGATTTAATTTTTATTTCCCCCACCTGAACGTGTTTAGCTTCAGCCCCTTCTGCTCCCCTGCAAAATGGGCTGTCAGTTTAAGAAGGCTGGAAAAATCCTGCAATCCAGTGAAGGGGGTGGGTGGGCTTTAAAACACACAACTCCAACTAGGTGGGCACCTTTCCCTGGTAAAGCATGGCATTCTCTAAGCAGGGATAAAGAGGGACACAGCACTTCCCAATCCCACTCTCCAGTTGGACAAGGATTCCCTGGGCCTGAGGGTGGTGGGATGGAGGTCCTTCTATGGTGGCACATAAAATGCTTAAGGCAGCAGTGGCTATCAAGCAATCACTCATGGGCCATCATTAATTGGGTGTGTGTTCATGACCCTTTGTCCATTGTTAATAACCTACCTACCCTGGAAGCAGGATGGAGTGCTAGAGCAGACAAAATTAAGTATATAAATATATTTAGTATAGATCCTGGTAAACACAGAACTCAACCAGCTTAATGCAGACCCCTAAATGAAAATAAAAGCTCCCAACTGCCTTTGGCAGATCTCCAGGGGAGGAATATCCCTCACAGCAGTTGGGAGGTGGTGGGAGCAGTGGTTGAACAAGGAGCCATAGCTCAGTGCATGCAGAAGGCCACAAATTTAATCCCCAGTGTTTCCAGGTAAGGCTGGGAAGTTGCATTGCCTGGAATCCTGGAGAGCTATTGCCAGTCATTGTAGGCAATACTGAGTGTGCTGAACATAAGAGGAGCCTGCTGGATCCAGCCAATGACCCATCTGGTCAAGAGCAGCTCTCCCCTCCTGCGGTTTCCAGCAACTGGAATTCAGAAGTATTGCTGCCCCCAGCTGTGCAGGCAGGTGAGCCATCATGGCTAGTAGCCTTCCAAAGTTCCTCTCTACCACGAATTTTGTCTGATGTTTTAAAGCCATTTAGGTTAGTGGCCCTCACTGCCCCCCTGTGAGAGCAAGTTCCTCAGGTCAGCTCTACATTGTGTGAAGAGGTCCTTCCTTTTGTCGGGCTTGAATCTTCCAACCTTCATCTCTACAAGTTCTAGAGTTATGAGAGCAGGAGGTCTGACTTGATAGAAAGAGCCTCCTCACGCTTTTGTTTAGCTGTGGTGCCCAAGTGCTACTGCACAGACCACTCACCAGTAACATTTGAAAGGCAGGTGGAAGAGGCATGGAAACAGGGTATAATAAGGTGTGCTGGGCTTAAAGCAGTGCCTCCCTCCAACGGGCATGCACAGAAGTCCACAGAAACTAGAAGATGCAAGCTGTCAAGTGTCTCACTCCCAATGGGAAGAAGACCAGTGGTGAAGCATGGGGGAGCACAGGGGCAATTGTCCTGGGAGCAAAATGGTTAGGGGTGCAAAATTTCAACACCCGGTGCTTTCTCAATACAGCTGTGAGTGCTTTCATTGCTGGGCTCTGTTGAAAACAGTTTCTCCATGCGAACCAAGAAGTGACCTCTCCAGACAACAGAACAACTATTCTGATCTCTCCAGCTGTGATCTCCTGGGTGATGTGGATGCCATCAGGGGACAGCAAACTTTTTCAGCAGGGTGCCGGTCCACTGTCCCTCAGACCTTGTGGGGGGCCGGACTACTGTATTTTTCGCACCATAGGGCGCACCGGACCATAGGGCGCACCTAGTTTTTAGACGGGGAAATCAATAAAAAAAATCTTTCCCCCCCTCCAGCCCCAAAGAGCAGTGTACAGGCTGCGCACAACCTCTCCCTGCCGGAGGGGTTGTGCGCTGCTATGGCACAAGCCAAGGCAGCAAGCGGGATGGATCGCACTGGCTGTTATGGCTTCCTCTTTAGCCCTGCGCAATCCCTCCCTGCCAGGAGAGGCTGTGCAGGGCTAAAGAAGCCATAGCCCCGTGCAGCCTCTCCCTGCCGGAGGGGTTGCGCACAGCTATGGCACAAGCCTGCATTCGCTCCATAGGATGCACACACATTTCCCCTCAGTTTTTGGAGGGGAAAAACTGCGTCCAATGGAGCAAAAAGTACGGTATATTTTTGGGGGGGGGAAGGGATGAACGAATTCCCATGCCCCACAAATAACCCAGAGATGCATTTTGAATAAAAGCATACATTCTACTCATGTAAAAACACCAGGCAGACCCCACAAATAACCCAGAGATGCATTTTAAATAAAAGGACACATTCTACTCATGTAAAAACATGCTGATTCCCGGACTGTACACGAGCTGGATTTAGAAGGTGATTGGGCTGGATCCAGCCCTCAGGCCTTAGTTTGCCTACCCATGCATTAGGCAGTTGAATGCACATGTGTACGCCATCCATTTCCCTCTGACGCACCCCCTTAAATGCGTCCCCGAGCGCTGGCAACCCCATGCTACACCACAGTGGAAGACCAAAGGGTTCTGCATCAGCTGCTGTCACAGCCTTGCATGATGCCCCTTTGCCAGGAAAATTCAGGCTTTTTATCAGCCAGCAAAGCTGCAAGTGGAAGTGGAGAGGCAGAAGTAGCCCCCGGCAGAAGAGGGAAGGAAGCAGGAGGCAGAAAGAAGAGGGGAAGAGGGGAGCTGCAAACCGATCGGGAGGCAAGTCGTCGTTAGGTGGCCATCTTGGGCTGATTGCTATTCTGGTTGGCCACCATCTTGAGCGGTGCCTGCCAAGGCAGTTGTCGGAGCACAGATGAGAGGAGCGTGGCGGCCCTTGCATCTGGGAAGGTGGCGGCCCCCAGGGGACTCTGGAGTGCAGAGCACAGAGAGGAGGGGAGGGAGAGCTTGTGATCAAATATTCCTTTGACTGCCAGCAGCTTTCAGCTTTCCCCTCCGCTTGTTTCAAGTCTCCCTGAGTCCAGTCCACTCCAGTGCCAGCTTGGGCAGAATTAGCCAGGGCTCTGAGGAATTGGGGAACAGCAGCAGCAGCAGCAGCTATGCCATCTGATAATAATAGCAAAGGGAGACCAGCTGAGAGGGACAGATTGGCGTGGGGGCCTCAGCGAGGCAAATGGGAACAGCTGAGGTCTGGGCACTTGTTAGTTCCCTACATTAATGGAGCTGGAAAGCACAGAAGCCTTTGTGGGAGCCCTTCACAGAGTCCTGCTCGGGGCTACAGAGACGTTTATCGTCGCTACTGGTATCAGTTGCGTGGACGGCTGTATTTGCACTCTCTCTGAGATGAAAAGCAAAAGGTTTGGCTACCTCTGGTTGTTCAGGGACCTGGGCGCATTCTGCCAGCACCTTGCATTTCTTGGGAATTCTTCAGCTTAGAGAAAGGGCACGTAAGAAGCAACTTGATAGAAGCTTATAAAATTAGGCATGGCATAGAAAAAGTGGATAGAGGAAAGGTTTTCTTTTTCTCTCATAACACTAGAACTCAGGGATATTCGGTGAAGCTGACTGTTGGAAGATTCAGGACAGGCAGAAGAGAGTATCGTATTTTTTGCTCTATAAGACTCACTTTTTCCCTCCTAAAAAGTAAGGGGAAATGTGTGTGCGTCTTATGGAGTGAATGCAGGCTGCGCAGCTATCACAGAAGCCAGAACAGCAAGAGGGATTGCTGCTTTCACTGTGCAGCGATCCCTCTTGCTGTTCTGGCTTCTGAGATTCAGAATATTTTTTTTCTTGTTTTCCTCCTCCAAAAACTAGGTGCGTCTTGTGGTCTGGTGCGTCTTATAGAGTGAAAAATATGGTAATTCTCCACTCAGTGAATAGCAGAACTGTGGAACTCGCCCCCACAGGAGGCAGTGAGGGCCTGGGATGGCTTTAAAAGAGGATCACACAAATTAATGGAGGAGAAGGCTACTAGCCATGATGGCTATCCATGGCTTAAGGCAGTAATGCTTCTGAATAGCAGCTGCTGGAAGCCACAGGAGGCGAAGGTGCTCTTGTGCTCCAGTCCTCCTTCTGGGTTCCCCCCCTAGCATCTGGTTGGTGAGAGCAGGAAGCTGGACTAGGCTGGCCAATGGCTTGAAGCTGAAGCTGGGTCTGGATCAGTGACTTGTTAAGTGTAGTAATTTAATTCACGGAAATTGTAAATGCTTGTATGAATTACCATGTGCTTGAATTTGCTTAGTTGGTAACTGAATTCTAAAGATTTTTCTAGTACTTCTCATGTGATTGGCTAACATTAGTCACATGGGAGGCATCTAGTGAAGGAGAGGCTTCACCTTCTATGTGAAGCAAGATGGCTGTGTTTTAGAATCCACTGTGAACACTGCTAAGTTGAATAGACTGTCAGAGCGCTTCTTCTCTGCTTGGAAGAAAGAGAAAAGCTACAGGAGGAGGTAAAAGTGGAAATCTCTCATAGGAGCTGCAAGGCAAGGCCTAATTGAGATACAGAAGGCTGAAAGTGATGAGCTCTGGAAATAGAAGGAAATACAGTTGTTTAGAAGTTAGAAGAGGAAGACTGTAAGCCCATGCTCGGATAAGCATGTGAGTGTAAATATTATGCTTTAATTCATCTAGAACTATAAGTTTCTGCAAATAAAGTTTTTGAATGTTAAAATCTGGATATTGGCTTAATTTCCAAAGAGGGGTGCCAGTCATATTTATGATTTGAGCTTCTTAGCTGTGATTTTGCTACCCTCACTTCAACATGCCCACCTGAAAAACACATGTACATTGTCCTGAGTTCCATCATGAACGGACGGCAAGACATAAATGTAATGAACTGATTAAATCAATCACGTTGAAAACAGAAGTACTCTGCCTAAGCTTGAGAAGGAAGGATGGTCTGACACTTTCTACATCACATTTTCCAAGGGTGAAACCTAGCTTTGAAAACCGGTGCTGGCAAAAATTCCAGGGCGCCTGGACTGCATACTAGGCCAGGTTCAAGGTTCTTATATTAGTGTACAAATCCCTAAATAACTTAATTACTGGATACCTTAAGACCACTCTAAGCTTTCTAGGAAGGCTGAGCCATTGATCTAGAGATCGGCCCCATAGCAATCTCTTAAGCATATCGCAGCCGATTTGTTGGACTTTGCTCAACTTTCCTCCAACCCATGCTGCTCCTCTCAAAAGAGTGCTAGAGAGATGAACCCATAAAGAGTCCAGGGCCTTCTTGGGTAATTGTCCATCTCTGAAGTTGATGGTTTGGTAATTACGCTTAACAGAAGCTGAACAGCCACCATCTGGGAATAAAGACTCAGAGACTCGACCCCAGGAATAACTCTGCCATTTACCACGCAGTAATATCCACACCGCACATTTAGGACTTTTACAAGGATTAATGTTTATAGGGACAAGTGATCACTGATACTGGAGCTATCTAGAATGACTGAAGTTCAGTTTCACACAAAAATAGAATAAAGTTGGAGTTCTTGTATTTCTTTCAAAATGTATGGGGGGTAGGGTTGGTCCATTTGGGAGGAAATCTGCATGTAAAACATGCTAATAATAATAATAATAATAATTTATTTGTACCCCACCCATCTGGCTGGGTTTCTCCAGCCACTCTGGGTGGCTCCCAACAGAATATTAAAAATGTGATAAAACATCAAATATTAAAAACTTCCCTAAACAGGTCTGCCTTCAGATATCTTCTAAAAGTCAAGTTGTTTATCTCCTTGACATCTGGTGGGAGGGCGTTCTCCAGGGCAGGCACCACTACCATGAAGGCCCTCTGCCTGGTTCCCTGTAACCTCACTTCTCGCAGCAAGGGAACTGGACCTCAGTTGACTCTGATTTTGGTCACCTCCTTCTAGACTAGGGTTGGGGAAACCTGTGGCCCTCCAAATGTTGGACTTCAGCCCTCATCATCCCTGATCACTAGTCATTCTGGCTGCTCCAGAGTTGGAGTCCTAAGGCATTTGGAGGACCCATGTTTTCCCCCTCCCTCTCCTACATTTCCCAGGCAGCTGGAAGTGAAACGGGACCTCTCCCTTGCCAAGGTCCACAAATGGAGCTCCTTTGGGTAAATTGTATTTCACATAATGACCAGAGGTGGTATCCCGCTACGTTTTACTCAAAGCAAACCAACTTAAATTAATGAACATGACCAAGTTATGTCCATTAATTTCAATAGGTCTGCTCTGGTTAAAACTTAGTTGAACACTACCAGTATTTCATAATGTATTACAATATTTAGCAACATCTTTCTCATGATAATAGCTTGATGCTTTTCAAAGCTATTTCATTTTGAAAGGAAACATGTGCTGGGCCAAGGAGTCACCATCAGTACACCTCAGGTGTCTTCAATACCCTCCTCCTTTTGGAGTACCTTCGCCTTCCTTTCGGAAGGTGAAAAAATTGCAGCCAAAATCATTACTGCAGTTGGAGAAAAGAAACCCTAAGCTTAATTGCAACTCACTTTGAGAACAATAGCTTAAAAGCAGGCTATAGAATTGTCAAATGCATAAAATAACAAAAAAGGGGGGAAAGACTTGAAAAGATGTTGCACTTCAGAGAAAATCAAGTGGGCGTCTGACATCTGTTTCAAGTTCGTTTGATTCAAAATAGGAACAAGACTATTTTGACCCAGAATACCTTTTCAAGCAGTGCAATCCCACATATAAAGTGTGTTCAGTGGGGCTTATTCACAGGTAAGTGTACATACCTTAACCCCTTTTTGCAGAGTCAAACCCTTGCCAGTTCCGAGGTTTGTCAGATATTAAAACATTAAATAAATCCTTCAAAGATTGGAATAGTTTCTCTGCTACTTCTTGCAGATTCAGACGCCAGAAAGAGAAAGTTTCATTAGAAGCAGATTAGAAGAGGATAACATGTGCAAGAGAAGTAATTCTTTTGCCAGCTGTTAGTAAATTGGAAATGGCACACTTACAATCATGTTCGATGCACTGCATTGAATTGCTTAGCTCAGTCCTGAAGTTAAAAACGCAACTCACTCGGAGCTGCCGTTCCATAAATATTGCATGCCGGATCCATTCGCCACCATCTGCTCCAACGGTGATGGGACACCTCTACTTTCCTGCTGCAGAGATGCATCTTTCCTGTGCAACAGTGGGGGGATCCGGAGCTGGAAAGGTCAGGGGGAGGGAGAAAAGGAAAGCAAACACAACCATCTTCCAGTTTTTAGGACAACTGGAGGTACGGCAGACAAACTGGAAGAGCAGGGCTCTTCCACAAGCAGCAGTGCAAACGAAAGAGGCTGGCAATGTACTTATTGAAGAGGAAGGAGCAGAGCAGATCAGGGAGACATCAGGGACACCAGCAGGATTCATGCCTGATTTGGGGCATAAGTAGGGAGAGAGAGGAATTCATTTCACTTCACATTTTAATGTGGATCGACCTAACTTGTACTTTCCAAAAAAATGCACAAACCAAAACGCAGCCATTGTTTGAAACTTGCACTTCTCTGAATGTTGTGACACAGTTCTCCATGCATTAAAATTCACACAGCAATGAAACCATACCAAAAAAATACATTATACGGGGTATGGGGGAGATTAGGGAAATAGTTTGCAAATACGTGCTCATTAAGAGAAATGTGCACTGAAGCGATGGCGTATTTGGGTGGCGATTTTATTTTTAAAAAGCATTCAGACAGATGCAGAAATGTGGTGAGCGGAATGTCAAGACTGGGAAAATGCCCCCATCCCAGCCCCTATGTGCCACCCTTGAGAATGGTTGTGGGGCAGGGGGAAGGGAAGATAGCATTATGGAGCAGTCTTGGGACAAAGTGTATCTTACATGCCAAAAAAGATTGCAAATCCGCCCTGCCACTGCCAATCCCAGTCCCTTTGGGATCCAACTTCCTCAAAGCCCTGCCATAACGTTTCATTAGCAAAAGCCCGATTTCACATCCCAAACAAAGTAACGCTACGTGCTAGGGACATGCCAGGGAGAGAATGGATGATGCATTTCTGAGAACCAACTGCACAGAGAGCACCCAGCACCCAAATATTTGGGTGCTGGGTGCTCTCTGTGCAGCTGGTTCTCAGAAATGCATCCATTCTCTCCCTGGCATGTCAAATGGTAGCTAAACAAATCTTACTGAAATTTGCAGCATCAAGGGGGAAGGGGAGTGTCAGAGCTGCTTCCAGATCCTAGCTCACAGAGGATCACGCTAGCCAGCGATCATTAAACAAAAGTCTTTATTGAGTTACAGTTTCCATTCTCAAGCTGCTGCGTGCAGCTCTACGTCTCATGCTTAGACCGGCGAAGCTCCGTCTGAGTCTCCGCCCCTTGTACACCAACTTAATATCCTAGCCCTGCTCCACCTTTTCCGCCTGACTGTTCTTCTCTGGGTCCCTCTGCCCCCCGGGGTCTCTTCCTTCCGGGATTCCTCTGACGCTGACTCCCCTGACTCTTCTCCCTCCTTTCGGCGGGCTTTGGGACCTGGCTCCCTTTCCGGGCTGCCTACTGCGCCACCTTCCTGTGCATTTGAACTTGGCGCGCGCGCCCACCCTTCCACCTTCCGTCTGACCGTTTCTTCGCTCCCCGATGGAGGTGTGGCCACTCCTGACTCGTGCCCTCCCCCCTGTTGTGAGTTGCCAGCGCTTGATCCCTGGTGCCCTTCCTCTTCCCTGCTCTCTGGCGGTGACGTTGGTCCCGATTTCCAACTGCTCCCCTCTGAGTCCCCTCTGGCTCTATCTTCCTGGGGTGTCCCCTAGGCTCCCCCTTGCCCTGGCCACTGGTGCTCCTTTCTGTGAATCTTCTGATTCACTGGAAAGACTCGGAGATCTCGGGTCGTCGTCATCACTCATCTTTTCTTCTGCCTCCTCCCCCTCGCTCTCTGTTTCCTCCCTTGCCCTTGCCTCTGCTCCTGAACCCCTGACATCCATCCCCCTCGAAGCCCCTCTTCCCCCTCCCCTCCTTCCGGTGCGGGATCTGGGTGCTGCCGTGTCAGGGGACGAATGTCGGATACAGTTCGCTTCCCGTGGCGGGCCGCCATCTGAAGTCTTCCGGTTCTTCCTCCCTGCTCTCGTTGGCGACGGTCACCTCCGCTTCCATCTCTGTGCCGCCGTGCTCGAAGCCCGGGTCGTCCCGAAAAAGTCCATGTCCGTCTCTCCCTCGTTGCCTTCTGGAGACGTTGCTCGTCCTGGACCCTCCAGCCACCTTCTACGGAACTGCTCCTCTGGTCGATCATCCCACCAATACGAGGGTTCTGAAGCAGATCCTGAGGGTGACCCCTCCGGGGAACGGGCGTCTCGTGTCGGTTCCTCGTCCGAGTCGAACCCCGGAGCGTGCTGGCTGAAGCGTGGGCGTGAAAAGCCAGTCGTCGAAAAGTCTGCTGGCATTGGCCTATGTGGGAAGAGGGCATGAAACTCTTCTTTGAGCAGAGGTTCGTCTAAAGCGTAGCCCGGCACCCAGCTGTTGGCACTGGCCGGGGTGCCCTCCTTGGCGAGAAGGTATTCTACCCCCTCTTCCCCCCCATCTGGAGTCCAAAATCTCCGTGACTTCGTTGATGCGCTCCTCCCGTGCCACTCCCCCCTGCCCGGTTCTCTCTCGGAGCGGACCCGGTGCCGTTCCTGGTTCCTGAAACCTGTGAGGTGCCTTGTAGGGAGTGAGCACCGATCTGTGGAACACCGGATGCATTCTGGAACCCTCCGGAAGAGCCAGCCTGAAAGCCACCGGGTTGACCTGTTCTTCGACTTGGTAGGGCCCCAGTTGTTTATGCCCTAGTTTCTTCTTCGCCAACGACCTGGCCGGCACTGCGTGGGCTGCTAACCAGACCCAGTCTCCCACATGGATCTCTTCGCCAACCCTTCTGTGTTTGTCCGCTTGTACCTTGTATGCGTGTTTAGCCAGCTCCAGGTGCCGCCGCAGCTGATCGTGGACCTCCTGCAACTCCAACGCGAATGCATCTGCTGTCTGCGGCCCCCCTCCCCCATTCTTTCCAGTCCCGGGAAGGTTCTGGGGTGCCTCCCGTTGTTGGCGAAGAACGGCGTGACCCCCGTGGACACGTGCTTCGTGTTGTTGTAGGCAAACTCGGCGAGAGGCAGGTAATCCACCCACGTCGCAGGCTGTTGATTCGCATAACATCTCAGGTACTGCTGCATGATGGCATTGACCCGCTCCGCTTGCCCATTGGTCTGCGGGTGTCTAGCCGACGCCAGGTTGATCTTGACGTTCAGGAAGCCCATCAGCCTCTGCCAGAAGTTCGAGATGAACTGTCGCCCTCGGTCGGACAGAATAGACCGCGGCAGACCGTGAACCTTGAACACGTGGTCTATGAACAGTTTGGCGGTTTGTTCCGCCGTGGCCACCTTCGCACACGGAATGAAATGTGCCATCTTGGAGAACAAGTCCACCACCACCAGCACAGCCGTCTTGCCCCTCGAGCTGGGCAGATCCGTGACAAAGTCCAGGGCCACTCTCTCCCATGGTTCGATCGGAGTTTGCAGCGGTTCCAGCAGTCCGGCCGGCGGTCTGTGCACTGGTTTGGCCCTCTGGCAGGTGTCACACCTCGCCACGTAGTCCGCGACTTCCCCTCTCATTCCTGGCCACCAGAAGTCTCTGGCTACTAATTCCACCGTTTTCTCCTTGCCAAAGTGCCCGGCAGTGGGCGCGTCGTGCAGCTGCTGCAGTACCTTGGCGCGAAGTTCGTCTCCCGGCACGTAGATGGCCCCTTTACGGATGAGCAAACCATCTCGCAGCTGGAACTCGTCGGTCGCTGCCGTGCCCCTGTGCGCCTCTGCCATCTTTGCTTGCGCGAAGGAGTCATCCTGCAACGCTCGTCGCACCGCCTCCAGGTCAACTGTCGCCGCCGTGCACGCCCACACTGTCGGTGCGAAGATGTGCATGGCGGCCGCTGGCGTTGCCTCCTCCAAATACTGTGGCTTACGGGAGAGAGCATCCGCCATGATGTTGGTGTCCCCGGGACATACTCTATTCGGAAGTCGAAATTCGCAAAGAACTCAGCCCAACGTATCTGCCTCTGGTTCAGGAACTGTGCCGTGCGCCAGTGCTCTAGATTCTTGTGGTCCGTGCAGACCTGCACCGTGTGCTTGGCGCCGATCAGGAAGTGCCTCCACGCTTTGAACGCTGCATGAATGGCCAGCAACTCCCTGTCCCAGATGGTGTAGTTCTGTTCGGACTTGCTGAGCTTCCTTGAGTAAAACGCTCCCGGCCTCCAAACCCCCTGCGGGTCCTTCTGCAGCAGGACTGCTCCCACGGCTCTGTCCGAGCGTCTGTCTCCACCCTCATCGGCCTGCTGGGGTTGAAATGAAGCAGTTGCTCTTACGACGCGAAGAGGCGGCTGAGTGCCTGAAAGGACTGCTCCGCCTGCTCTGTCCAGATGAACTTCTTTTTCTTGGAGCTGAGCGTGTCCGTGATGGCCGCTGTCTGCATGGCAAAGCCTTTGATAAACTTGCGATAGAAGTTCGCAAAGCCGACAAACCGTTGGACCTCCTTCCGGTTGCGTGGGCTTTTCCAATCCAACACTGCTCGGACCTTGGTGCTGTCCATGGCGAGCCCTTTATCAGACAACTTGTAGCCCAGGAAATCCACCTCCGTCACGTCGAATTGGCACTTCTCCAGCTTGGCGTAAAGCCTATGTTGCTGTAGCCTGCTCAGCACTTCTTTGACGTGCCTGTCATGCTCCTGCTGCGATTCCGAAAAGATCAGGATGTCATCCAAGAAACAGACGCACGTCTTGTAGAGGAGCCCCGCCAACACGTGATGCATGAAAGCTTGAAAAACGTGGGAACCATTTTGCAATCCAAAGGCATAACTCTATATTCGTAGGTGCCCAGGGGCGTGAACATGGCTGTCTTCCACTCATCTCCTTCCCGCATGCGAATGAGGTTGTACGCCCCTCGCAGGTCCAACTTGGTGAACACGCTGCCCTTCCGTACCTTCGCGAGGAGGTCGTCGATTCGGGGCATGGGGAAGTCCGATGGCTTGGTCACGCTGTTCAAAATGCGATAGTCCACTACAAGTCTTTTTGGGGCGTGTCCCTCTTCTTAACAAAGAATACCGGACTGCCCCCCGCTGCCGTGGACTCTCGGATGAAACCGCGCTCCAAATTATGATCTATGAACTCTTTGAGTTCCTGCAGTTCGTCCTCAGACATGGAATACAACTTCCCTTTGGGCAGCGCCGCCCCCGGCAGCAGGTCAATTTTGCAGTCATATGGTCTGTGGGGGGGGTAGCCTGTCTGCCTCCTTCTCACAGAAAACCTCCAAAAATGCTGCGTACTTGTGGGGAACCGCTTGCAGCGTGCCGAGCTGCAGCTGTGACTCCTCTTCCTCTCCTTCCTGCCGGGGCACGATGCAGTGTTCAGCGCACAAGGAAGAGCCGAAGGTCAGCTGCCTCTGGTACCAAGCCAGCGTCGGGCTGTGCTTGTCCAGCCAACTCATGCCCAATACAATGGGCGTGTCCGATAGTTGAGTGACATTGAAGCTGATGATTTCCCTGTGATTCCCAAGTCTCATCACCATTGGTGGCGTCTGCTTCACCACTTGCCCCCCTAGCAGCTCCCTGCCATCCACCGTGACAACCTGCAGGGGCAGCGTGGCAGGCAGCAACTGTATAGCGTGCCGGTCGACAAAGTCCTGCCCTATAAAGTCCGCATTGCTTCCGGAGTCAATGGTGATTGGCACGTCCATGGTGATGCCATTGGGCAGCTGGAGCGACGCGGTGAGCCTCACTACTGGTTTGGGCGGGAGGGTGTCCATGGGCTGTAAAATCTCTGGGGACTGCTTCACTGACACGTCTGGCTGGGCCCCAGTGCCTCTTTCTCCAGCCAGACTCCGTCGTTTCCCTGCCGTGGTTCTCCTTGCTGCGTTGCTGCAGTTACCATTGCTGAGGCTGCAGTGTGCTTGTGGAGCCTCTGGGGACACTCTTTCGCCATATGCTGTGGATCATCGCAGATGTAACACTTCCTGTTCCCTCTAGGAGGCTTCGCTTTCACTGCTGCCGGTGCTAGGGCTCTGGCTGCTGACTGAGCCCTTGCACCTCCAACCTCCATAGGTTCCGCTCCTCCTCCTGGCGGA